AATATTTATAAAAACAGATATATCTATCCATATCTCGATATAGATGTCAAAAAATCACTCTCGCATTCTCTATCTATATATCTATATATATATATATATATATATATATATATATATATATATATATATATATATATATATATATATATATATATATGATGCTAAAATATAGCTCACCTAGGGTAGTATAGAAAACGAGCTGGGAGAGCAAAGCGGATCAGTAGCTTGGTAACTTGATGATCCTAAGGTCCCTGCGAAAAGAGCACACGTGAACTAAGCCAGGGGTTGATCCGGCGGAAACCCCTCCGACGCTCAAGTCAGATGTACGGATCGTAGAGATAGCTGAGAGAATAATATTCGAGGTTGATTGTTAATAATGGGAACGTACCTTGGCAAATGAGTAAAACACCTATTTATATATCGGTGATTGGGTTGGGCTTACTTTGTTGGGCCCAAGCCTTACTTTGAGGCTATTTGGGCTTTTTTGTAATGGGCCTAATTAGTAGATAAATTTGGGGGCCCATCGGGCCGGCCCATTTAGGTATATCATTAAGCCCCCCAACTCTCGATTCGAGACGGGGACTTGTGTAGAGGGATCTGGGTCGTGTCGAGAGTTAATTGCGTCGCGGGTTAAATTGTTTCCGTTGGCGGTGATATAATTCCTTAATTTAATAAGGGATAATTATATTTATTTGGCAGCAAGGTATATATTTAAGGGTTTTAAATAATATACCAGGGCCAGATAAATAGACTCCTTCTGCGGTGGAAAGAATTAATCTTCAACTCTCGCGTAATAAGTATGGGTATGTACTTTTAACTCTAGGTCTTCTTCTGTGCTATTCTTCGCTTGAGAATTATTTTTTGTGGTAGAGTAGAAATTTTTTCGTATTTCGTCCGGATAAAAATATATCATGTCGAACCCGAGTAAGTCAAAGTCTTTGCGTATTAAACTTCGAGATCCGATCGAGGGGTGCGAGAAAACTTTTGGTACGGTGGGTATGGAACGCGAGAAGGTAATAATAACAGATGCGGAAGTCGGATTCGCGTCGGCTAGTAGGCGACTCAAAGCGAAAAGGAGGGTGGTGGGTAGGGTTGGGACGGCTGACAGCTCGAGCCGCGGAGCCAACCCTCCCAATCTGTGTGTGGAGCCGAGCCGAGCCGCCGTTGTGGGGGCTGGCACAATTTCCCACGAGGAGAGAGAGAAGGGAGCTGCTGAGGTGGGCGCGTCTGGCACGGAGGTCGAGGGACGCATGTGCGCGTCAGTGGAGGAGAGAGAAGGGGGCGCGCGCGCGTCGGTTGGCGAGTTAGGTGGACGTGCGCGCGCCATTGGTCCAGGTGGCGGTGGCAGACGCGTGAATGGGCTGGAGTTGGCGCGCGTCTGGTGGGTCGGGTGAAGCGGACGCGCGCGCGGGGGCCAGTGTGGTGGGTGCACGTGTCTTGGAGCAGGCTGGTGACGCGCGCGCGCGTGGATCAGCCCCTTTTGGGGCCACGCGCGCGCGTCAGGGCGCGTTACAGCCCAGTTTTGAGCCCGGTTCGGGCGAAATTGATGGGAAATTTTCCGGGGGTGCTGATTCGCGTGGTTTTATAAACGGGGGAAGTTTTGGTCGACGAGAAATAATTGAATCGTGGAGTGACGATGTAGAAGTGCGTAACAATATTACTATTTCCTCTACCGTTGATGAAGCGGATTCCAGTAGACGTCGTTATGGGCGTCGAGTCGTGGATTTTGGGAGCGATAGTGACGATTCTAATCAAGCCCCTTTGGCGAATGATCATGCTGTGCCTAGTAGTGAAGTTGAGCTGACGGATGAAGAGGAGGAGGAAGATGATATTCCGCCGGGTGATGTTGAGGTTGACACGAGGAGGCAAAAGAAAAATAAGCCAATTAATTTGGACTTAGTTGATTTTGATAGTGTATTGACGGAAGAGCATTTGCATTCTATTCGTCGTTTATCTGGAGCGCCGAGTAATGTCGTGTTGTTGTTGCCTCAGAAGGGCGACCGTTTGTATTCGCCACCCGATGGATTTCATACGGTGTTTTTGGCGTACTTGACGTGTACATCTCAGATTACACCGCATCCGACCTTGTTGAAGGTTTGTGAGGTATTCAAGATAGGGTACAGTCAATTAACTCCGACTGCAGTTCTTATGTTCGAGGCGTTTCACCATAGGGTGTCTCTAGTGGGTTTGCCTATGTCCGTGAGTTTGTTCAAGGCGTTATTTACGTTACATCGGCCAAATCAGACGCCTTTCTTTTGTTTTCATCCTCGCGTTCCTTACCAATTCGTGAAGAGTGTGAAGTTATCTTTGGGGAAATGGAAGACCCATTTTTTTTATGTGAGGGCTCCAACTTTTGACGTTCCCGTAGTTTTGAATCCTACGTGCGAGAGTTTCACGATAACTGCGAATATGGCGAAAAGGATTGAAGAGTCGGGATTGTGTGATGTGGAATTTGACCCGAGGGTTTTGATACTAAAGGCGAAGGGTCAGCACCGTATATCTTTTTGTTGCCTTGACTTGTTTTTTTTTTTTTTTTTTTGGTTTGGTGGTAGTGTATACCTCATGTCTCTTATGTGTTTGTTATCTTTTGTAGATGGGGGAATCACCTTTGCGGCACTTCAAGCTAAGGCGAATGGAACGTCGAAGAAGGCATCGAAGAAGGTACCCTCTACGTTGGGAGGTTCTTCAAGTGGTTTGCCTCGTGAGGAGGCTCCTCGAGTAGTCGCAGATGACCGTAGCAGTGCTGGTGAAGTGGAGGGGCGTCCACCGACGAGGGATCGTGGCAAGGGAAAGAGGGTGGATACCGAGTATGTGGGCGTGCCTAAGCGTCCACGGGTAGACCCAGAGGAGACTTATGCTTTCCATGGTGGAGGAGGGAAACAACTGTTTACTTATGGCGTCAACCGCGATGGTAAGGAGTCGTACTGGGATGTGTCGGACTATGATTTGCCGATGTTGAGTACCGAGGGATTCGTTCGGGAGTATGACCGTGCTCGGATGTCTGGTAAGGGTCCTTCTCACATGCTAGAGTTAGCTGGTGGGGACATATGTCGGGTGAGTACTTGTCTACTTAAAACAATTTTTTATGTTTTATTCCCTCTTGACTTGCGAAAAATATTGTTATGTATTTTTTTTTTTATATAGTTGGTGGCGACTTGGAGATATCTCATGGAGCACGGTAGGAACGTGGAAGCTAGGAAGGAAGAGGAGCGGGCTCGAATTCACGCGCGTGAGGATGATCTTCTAAGCCAGTTGGAAATAGCGCGGTCCGATCTTGCTCAACGTTCGGAAGAGCTTGCTCGGAGGACAGAGGAGCTTGCGCAGAAGACAGAGGAGCTCGAGGTTCTCCGAGGTGATGCGAAGGCGTATAAGGATGATGTTCACAAGTTGAACGAATGCTACGACCAGCTCAAGGAGAAATACGAAATCGAGAAGGCGACGGGGAAGAGGTTCCTCACAACATCAGGCGGTGCGGCTTATAAAGAGTCCATTGTGGAGGAGACCAAGGCTAATTTCCGAGGTAGTGATGAGTGTGCCGCTATGATTGAGGAGCATGCATTGGCTGTGGTTTACAAGCCATTAGTGCGTGCTTGTCGCAAATATCTGCGCGATGCGGGTGGTATCAGCGAGGAAGTGATTCGTGGGATGGAAGCTGGCATATCCGATGAAGAGGAGGATGAGGTAGATGTCAATGTGACGGGCACAGAGCTCGTGAATGATATGGTTGCGGATGACTCCATTGTGGGTACGTCTTCCGCTCGCGGTAGGGGAGTTTAGATTTATTTGCTAGAGTAGTTAACTTTCCCCCTTTTTTTTATGGATTTCTTAGTTTGTTTTTATCGCTGATGTAGTTGGGTATGTCCACTACTATTTTATTTGAATTTCTTCCTCGTTTGACTTTGAAGTTTAATATTTTGATTTATTTATTTTGACATTGTCAAGAATTAATGCGTTGCTTCTATGTGTTGACATTAGCATTATACGCGATGTACTTGAGGAGGGGATCAGTCTCCCAAGGTTTTTGTTAGGGGTCGTGCCCTTTGTTTGGACCACTTGGGTCTATAATATTTTTGTCCGTGGCCACGTTTTAAAAGTAGCACCTCGTGAAACAGCTAAAGGGACTTAGATAATCCAGCTGGCCAGGCTATATGGATTATCTAAATCTCTCTAAGTGTTTATTAGGTGGTATTGAATTAGATTCATGATAAGAGGTAGTTTGTTACGATGTAAAGGCATGGAGAGTAAAACGAAAATTTTGATTTATTCGATGATAGCAAAGGAGAATTGTTACAGGCCCATGTGAGGCCAATGTAATTAATTAGGTAATGCGATAGGCCTGCGTGAGGCGAACATAAACAACTACTACTGAAGCAAATAAATTGACTTGATAACAATAATTTTCTAAGTTATTGTACTATACTTGTTCTTCTTCCACGTCTTCCTTGTACTCGTTCGTTTTGCTGATGGTAGGCTGACTTCTTTTGGTGTCTCTATGCCTGTCAAGTATAATTGAGAGAACGAGAATTTTGTTTAAGCATTTGTATCAAGGACTTAGTAATTGTAGCTAAGGTGATGTGCATTGCTTTTTCACGTACCCTACTACGGGGGTTGATTTTTCTCTCTCGCACTCCAAGATATGAAATGAACTCGTGAGTTGTTGCGAGTTGCTATGCGATCATGCCTGCTAATGGGATTTTTTTTCATATTAGTAAGCGTAAATAAAATTACCCGTGTGTTGAACTCTAGTAGAAGTATAGTTACCCTTGGCGATGTGGTATGGAGTGTCTTCGATCAAGCAGTGCATTGATTGAATATATACATCCTCTCGTAGTAGGTTCTCGACCCGTAAGGATACGATGGGATGTGATTATAAATTTCTGATGTAAGTAACAATTACTAGCCCCCCAGCTTAGGTGGGACGTTAACGCACCTTGTTATGTGGTGTCAAATTTCCAACCATGGAGAAGCAGCCTTACAAGACGAGTGACGTGGAAGGTCGTGGGATCTGCATGGGTGATGAATCGTAAATAACCTTCATATAAAAGAAATATGGGTGATGATCTTAATTTATCTGAAGCAAGGTAGATGTATACCTTAGGCATAGAACCGTTTGAGGTTCCCTATATTCCATGTTCTGGGTATAGGGTGTCCGTCAATGTTCTCGAGGCGATATGCTCCAGTGTTGACCACCTTTGTGATTTTATATGGTCCTTCCCACTTTGGGTCTAGCTTGCCAATGGGGTGAGAGGCTTCAGCTTTCCGGAGGACTAAATCCCCAACTTGAAAGGAGCGGGGACGGACCTTTGAGTTATATGCCTTGGCCATGCGTGATTTGTACATCTGTTGCCGGATGTATGCGATCTCTCGTAGCTCATCTACAAGGTCTAGGCTTCCTCGCATAGCTTCTTCATTAGCTGGTGGATCATAGTTGGTGATTCTTCAAGATGGTTCACCTATTTCAACAGGTGCTATAGCTTCTGTTCCGAAAGCTAGATTGAAAGGCGACTCACCGGTTGCTGCGCGTGGGGTTGTGCGATAAGCCCATAGGGCGTTAGGCAATTCTTCCACCCATTTTCCTTTGGCACTTCCCAGCCTTGTCTTAAGGTGTTGGAGGATGGTGCGATTTGTAACCTCCGTCTGGCCGTTAGCTTGTGGATTTGCTACCGATGTGAAGAACTACTTGATGTCCAAGCCGAGGCACCAATTTTTTACTTTGTCACCGCAAAATTGGGTTCCATTATCCGAGATGATGGAACGAGGGATTCCGAAGCGGCATACGATGTTCTTCCATAAAAATTGGATGACTTCTTCTTCTCGGATGCGTGCTAAGGGTTCAGCCTCCACCCATTTGGTGAAGTAGTCCACTGCTACAATGAGGTATTTGCGTCCTCCTGTGGCGGGCGGGAATGGTCCAACTAAATCCATCCCCCATTGGGCGAAAGGGATGGATGGGGCTGTCAATTGGTTGCATTAACGCCGCTGGCATGTGAGTGATATTGGCATGCTCTTGGCAGGGCTTACACCTCCGTACTAATTTTTTCGCATCTTCATGCATCATTGGCCAATAGTATCCCTGCCTCAGTAGTTTGAGAGCTAAGGTCCTCCCGCTCAAGTGATTGCCGCAGATGCCTTCGTGTACTTCTCTAAGTACATAATCCGATGTGGTTGGGTCGAGGCACTTGAGGTAAGGGAATGAGAACCCTCATTTGTATAACTCTTCTCCCACTATGACGAAGCGAGCGGCTCTCGTTTTTTAACTTTCGTGCTTCGGTGGAATCCGCTGGAAGTTCTCCCTTCTTGAGATACTTCAGGATTGGAGTGAACCAGCATGGTTCATCCTCCTCGGTGTACTGTACTTCAGTGGGTGAAGTTATCTCTGGCTGAGGTGAGGTGAGGAGCGTCACCTTCCGACTTCCGATGCTAGCCATGGAGCTTCCAAGCCTAGCTAATTTGTCAGCATGGACGTTATTGGAGCGAGGTACTTGTCTTATCTCGTAGCTCTCGAATTTAGATAAGAGAGTGTGCGCGAGAGCTAAGTATTTCGCCATGGTGTCTTCTTTAGCCTCGTAAGATCCAAGTACTTGGTTGACGACGAGCTGAGAGTCGCTTTGGATTAGGAGCTTGCGCGCTCCGGCTGCTAGGGCGAGGCGGATTCCCGCTATCAGTGCTTCGTATTCGGCAACGTTGTTTGAGGCTGTGAATTCGAATCGTTGAGCATATTCGAATTCGTCTCCGTCGGGGTTCGTTAGGACGATACCCGCTCCACCTCCTGTGGCACTGGAAGATCCATCGACGCTGACGGACCAAGTAGGTAGAGAGGTGCTTTCTTCTATAGAGGTCATTTCGATTAGAAAGTCAGCCAATACTTGCGCTTTGATAGATGGGCGGGGTTTGAATTCGACCCCGTATTCGCTTAACTCTATCGCCCATTTTGCTAATCGCCCGGATGTCTCAGGACTCCTTAGTACTTGCTTCAGAGGATGATTGGTGAGAACCACCACCTGATGTGACTGGAAGTAAGGTCGAAGCTTCCGAGCTACGTTGATGAGAGCGAGAGCGAGTTTCTCCATGTTGGTGTAGCGTTGTTCGGCTCCTTGGAGAGCGCGACTTATTTAGTATATGGGTTGGTGGCCTTTTCCTCCATCTCGGGTGAGGACTGCGCTGATGGCGTTAGCCGAAGTAGCTAAGTACAGCATGAGGGTGTCTCCCGGCTGAGGTTTTGTGAGCAAGGGTGGCGATGCGAGATATGACTTCAGCTCAGTGAAGGCCTTTTGACATGCCTCATCCCATTAGAACTTTTTTCCTCCCCTTAAAATCTTGAAAAATGGGAGAGCCTTGTCCGCTGATCTTGAAATAAATCTGTTCAAGGATGCCAAACAGCCGTTGAGTTGTTGAACTTTCTTGATCGATGTTGGCGGAGCCATGGAGGTGATTGCTTCGATTTTTGCGGGATTAGCTTCGATTCCCCGCTGTGAAATCATGTATCCTAAAAACTTGCCACCTCGAACTCCGAACGAGCATTTGAGGGGGTTGAGTTTCATTTTGTATTTTCGCAGGGTAGCGAAGCATTGATCCAGATCAGTTAGGTGGTCCGAGACCTTGATACTTTTGACGTGCATGTCGTTGATATACACCTCCATATTCTTACCGATCTGATCCGCGAACATGGCGTTCACTAGACGTTGGTAAGTGGCTCCCGCATTTTTCAACCCGAAGGGCATGACTTGATAGCAGTAGATACCTTGGTCAGTGATGAAACTAGCCCTCTCTTGATCTTCTGGTGCAAGTAAGATCTGGTTATACCCTTGGTATGCATCGAGGAAGCTGGGGAGCTCGCATCCTGAGGTCGAATCGATGAGTTGATCGATTCTAGGTAGAGGAAAAGGGTCCTTAGGACAAGCTTTGTTGAGGTCGGTGAAGTCTACGCATAGTTTCCACTTGCCCCCGGGTTTGGGAACGAGTACGACGTTCGACAACCATTCAGGATACTGAACTGGTCGTATGTGGCCCGCTTCGAGGAGTTTTGCCATTTCCGCTTTGATATGCTTGTTGCGCTCGGGACCAAATTTCCGTTTCCTCTGTTTGACTGGCTTCAACCTCTTGTCGACGTTCAGCCGATGTAGGGCTACCTGAGGGGGAATGCCCGACAAATCTTGAGCTTTCCAAGCGAACACATCTCCATTGTGCCGCAAGAATTTGACTAATTGCGTCTTCATCTCAGGATCTAAATCGGATCCGATGCGTAGGAGTTTGGAGGTATCTCCGGGAGTGAGCTCTATGAGCTTAAGTTCTTCGACGGCCGCTAGCTTGATGTTGTCATCAGGTACGCTGATGAGGATTTCTTTATTATCCTCGATGATCGCATTGACCCACTTCCGTTTGTCGGATTTTTGGGTGTCGTCTCCCTTTCCGGGTGGTTTAGGCTTCTTGGAAGGTTCTCGAAGGGCCCTTGCATAGCACTCTCGAGCGAGACGTCTGTCTCCGAGTACTTCCCCCATTCCATAGGGAGTAGGGAACTTCCACTTCTGATGATAGGAGGAGGGCACTGACTTGAATGTGTGTATTGCTGGCCTCCCCAGAATGATGTTGTAGGGTGATGGCCTGTCGACGACGAGGAACTTAATTAGTTTTGTGATTCGACAAGGGTCTTCCCCTAAAGAGACGGGCAGCTCTACTTCTCCCATGGATAAAATGCCTTCTCCTGTGAATCCTTTCAGGGGTGTGGAGACGGGATTAAACCGGACATTATCTATGCCTAGCTGCTTAAAAGCGTGGAGGTACATGATGTCCGCTGAGCTTCCACCGTCCACTAATATCTTCTTGACCAAGAAGTTGGCCACCGTTGTTGTTACTACCAGTGCATCGACATGGTCTTCATCTGGACCTTCGAGGTCGGAAGAGTTGAAGACTATGCTGTGATCGGATCTTTGTATTTGAAATGCGTGCGGATGGAGAAGCACGTTCTTGATTCATACGTGCTGATCGAGCGAGGGTGCGTCTTGCGTTTTGTGAATCGCCTCCCGCCGGTCCTCCGGAAATAAAGGAGATGATTCCCCGGGGGGGCTGGTTATCATTGTTATCTAGGTCACGTCGATGACCCCCATCTTCTCGTCTTTGTTGTTGATCTCGATTGTTATCTCGGCGTGGGGGATCATCACGGCGTTTATTTCGCGCCTTATCGATGTATTCGCCTAAATGGCCTTGTTTGATCAGCCTCTCGATCGCCATTTTGAGTTGTGCACATTCCTCCGTAGTATGCCCTCTGTCCTTGTGGAATCGACAATAACGATCCGACTTTTCTCGCTTTGCGTTTCGCTGCATAGGACGTGGGGGCTCTGCTAAACCTTTCTGTTCTATCACGTGAAGGATTTCCGTGAGGCGAGTGTTTAGCGGAGTGAACCTATTGTAGGAGGAAGAGGGTTGGCCTTGAGGTGGAAGTGGTGGACGTCGGTCATCACGTCTCCTATTGTCCTGACGGTCATCTTCCCTTTTCCTTTTAGGAGGAGCATGGGTAGAGGCTTCCTCTATCCGGACGTACTTTTCGGCTCGATTTAACAATTCCTCTAGGTTGCCTGGGGGTCTTCCGGCAATAGATTCCTTGAATCTACCCGGTTTCAAATTCTGCTGCATAATCCCGGAGAGCATGTCTTGCCCCACACTGGGGACTTCATGGACGGCTTCTACGAAACGCTTAATGTAGTTGCGGAGCGTTTCGTTATCTCTCTGTACTACTGAGAAAAGATGAGCTGGGGTCTTGGCATATTGTTTGTTGATGGCGAATTGGTTGGTGAACCGGGTTGACAGTCGAGCGAAAGTGTCAATCGATCCTATGGGTAGGGAGTTGAACCAGTTCATTGCTCTCTTGGAAAGAGTGGTACGGAACATTTTGCACATAACAGCATCCGTCGGGCCATATAAATCCGCCATGGCACTGAATTTCTCTATATGTTCCTGTGGATCGGTGGTCCCTTCAAATTGAGGTAACCCCGAGATCTTCACTCCTTGAGGTAATACCTCGTTGAGAATGTCTATGGTGAAAGGACTGCGTCTTGTTGGGAGAGGCATTCTTTCACCCATTTGATTATTTGGTTGGGGGAAAAGATTTTGGCGAGACATTCTGCTGTTTACCTCGCCTTCTCCCTCATTAAAGAGAGGGACTCTCTGTGGTGACGCATTCCCCCTTGGGGGTGAGCGCTGACGCTGCTGTCTGGGCTGTGCCCCTCGGTGGTTGTTAGATAACTGCCCTCGGGATCGTGGATCCGAGGTAGAGGAGGAGACACTTATTTGATTCGGCATTGGCTGTGGGGCCACGGGTGGCGCTACAGGTGGAGCTGGCGCTGGTACCGCATTGGGAGCGTTTGCACCCATCGTGGCGATATATTGAGTTACTGCCTCCGTGGCGGCGCGAGTAGAAGCTTCCGCTATCATACGTTGGAGCGCGTCCTCGGTTATTTGAACCGTTCGAGGAGCAGGGAGTGGTGGATCGGCGAGTGGTGGGTCCCGAGGGGGGATCACCTGAACCTCGCGAGGTGGATCTGCAGCACGTGGAGGAGCTGGCTCCGCGGCACATGGAGGAAGTGGCTCCGCGGCGCGTGGAGGAGGTGGTATGCCAGATCCTCCACGGACGGGAAGGTTATTAGCCGTGTCATTTTCTCTCCGAGCTGACGCCTCAGGAGGATCTTGTTGGCTACGTGATCTGGTTTGCATTTTCCCACAGACGGCGCCAAAATGATGATGCTAAAATATAGCTCACCTAGGGTAGTATAGAAAACGAGCTGGGAGAGCAAAGCGGATCAGTAGCTTGGTAACTTGATGATCCTGAGGTCCCTGCGAAAAGAGCACACGTGAACTAAGCGGGGGGTTGATCCGGCGGAAACCCCTCCGACGCTCAAGTCAGATGTACGGATCGTAGAGATAGCTGAGAGAATAATATTCGAGGTTGATTGTTAATAATGGGAACGTACCTTTGCAAATGAGTAAAACACCTATTTATATATCGGTGATTGGGTTGGGCTTACTTTGTTGGGCCCAAGCCTTACTTTGAGGCTATTTGGGCTTTTGTGTAATGGGCCTAATTAGTAGATAAATTTGGGGGCCCATCGGGCCGGCCCATTTAGGTATATCAATATATATATATATATATATATATATATATATATATATATATATATATATATATATATATATATATATATATATATTGTTAGAATTTATTTCGTGCAGATATAAATTATTTGTGTCAGATTCAGTTTTTCGTTACTGTTGCGTGAAGTGATGCAACAGTTCGTGAAACAGTTTGTAAAAACAGAAATAAACGAGACACAAATTTAATGTGGTTCGGATACAACTGTACCCTACATCCACGGGGACCTGCAAATAAAATTTACTAATTTTTAGTTTTACGAATACAATTATAGGACTTAATCAAAATACAAAGACTCCCTCTTTGTTGACGCCGTTCTTGTATACTACGCTGAATTATAAATCTTCAATTTGCAGCACGTCCCTTGCTCCGCACGGTTGAACTCCCTTCAACGCTGAATCCCTCAGTCGGCGGATCGATCTCCTCCCGAGATCTGTTTAAGCCCCTCTCCCGAAGAACCGATCTTCTTTTTATATAGAAGAAGCAAACTTGTGATACTCCTTGAATCTTGGTGTCTTCACCACAAAGCCTTGAAGCCGGTATATTTTCTATGAAAATCACGTATCACGATAGAGCAATAAAAACGAGAGAAAATAATATTTTCTATGTGAATTTTTCTCTCGATAAAAATAACTCCGGAAGAGCAACAAAGAAAAGAGAAAAATATTTTGTTTCTCCAAAAAAATGCCACACAGTAATGTGTCTTTGCTTCTCCTTCATAAGCCTGATAAAGAATCCTACAAGAGACCAACATCAAAAAAACGTATCAGGCTTATTAGGAATAAACCATATCAAAAGATATTAAGTCCTAATCAAACACTAATTTCCAAAAGAATTTGTATTCTATTGAAATACAAATTCTGTATAAACCAAAATAGCTACTTAATAAATATATAAACCAATTAATGACAATTTAGCAAACCAAAACTTGGAAAATAAATATATTCTTCCCTTTTATCATGATACACGGCTTTGTCTATTCTCAAGGAAGAAAAACTTTCTTTCCAAGTCACATGGTATTAAAGAATCCCAAATTCTTAGAATTCTCCATGGTTTCTCTTAAGTAGAATCTAACTAGATTCTAACAATCTCCTCCTATGTCATTGATTGGTTATAATCATTTTCTCCTGCTGAGTGAAAACCTGAAAATAAAACAAACAGAGGATAGACGGAAGCAAATAAAACAAAAGATCATCATCAACTCTTTTCAACAACAAGAGTGGCATCAACAACTGCAGCAGTAAGTGCCACAGTTTCAGCAACTGTTCCCACAGTAGTGGCTTCGGTAGGTGGTTCACAACGGAGTCAGCTCCCCCTGCATGTGTATCTCCCTCTGTGAATGATCCTTAGGCAGCTCCTCTTGTAAATGCATTCATTCTTCCCCTTTGCTTACTCGGCTTGATAGACTTGGAAGGCGGTGGATGACAACGTGGTAAATTATCCACGTGATAAGAGACAACAAAGAAAAGAGAAAAATATTTTGTTTCTCCAAAAAAATGCCACACGGTAATGTGTCTTTGCTTCTCCTTCATAAGCCTGATAAAGAATCCTACAAGAGACCAACATCAAAAAAACGTATCAGGCTTATTAGGAATAAACCATATCAAAAGATATTAAGTCCTAATCAAACACTAATTTCCAAAAGAATTTGTATTCTATTGAAATACAAATTCTGTATAAACCAAAATAGCTACTTAATAAATATATAAACCAATTAATGACAATTTAGCAAACCAAAACTTGGAAAATAAATATATTCTTCCCTTTTATCATGATACACGGCTTTGTCTATTCTCAAGGAAGAAAAACTTTCTTTCCAAGTCACATGGTATTAAAGAATCCCAAATTCTTAGAATTCTCCATGGTTTCTCTTAAGTAGAATCTAACTAGATTCTAACAATCTCCTCCTTTGTCATTGATTGGTTATAATTATTTTCTCCTGCTGAGTGAAAACCTGAAAATAAAACAAACAGAGGATAGACGGAAGCAAATAAAACAAAAGATCATCATCAACTCATTTCAACAACAAGAGTGGCATCAACTGCTGCAGCAGTAAGTGCCACAGTTTCAGCAACTGTTCCCACAGTAGTGGCTTCGGTAGGTGGTTCACAACGGAGTCAGCTCCCCCTGCATGTGTATCTCCCTCTGTGAATGATCCTTAGGCAGCTCCTCTTGTAAATGCATTCATTCTTCCCCTTTGCTTACTCGGCTTGATAGACTTGGAAGGCGGTGGATGACAACGTGGTAAATTATCCACGTGATAAGAGACTCAGCAAATAACGTCGGCATTAGCTCTTCCTTTTATATTCTTGTGAAGCTCTGGAGAAATCAAACAAGGAAACCAATTAATGACAATTACCACAATAATAATAAAAAGATGGAATTCCTTTTAGACACGTTCAGGTGATTAATATGGAGAGATAATTTATTTCTTCTCAAATTATTTAATGAGATAACTAAGAAAAATATGTTCCTCATATTAATACACATCTCCATAGAATTCCACTTGGTGTTGTGGACTTAGAATCCCACCGAGATTCTAACACTCTCCCCCTTTGGCATTGATTGGTCAGAACATTTACTCCCCCTAAATATATGATATATGCATGAACAAGGGTCAGCAAATTCAAAATATCGTCTGCAAATATAAACTGTTGCAACAGTTTATCAAACAGTTCAGAGAAAGTTAGTGGTTTGAACTCAACAAATAAAGAACAACAGAAAATATGCAGTAGCAGAATCAACTTCCCTTTACAATGAATTCATCCGTATTTGTCATGTATTTCTGCACTATTCCAACAACTGTATGATGCATTCTCTCAACAGCTGTCTGAACTCTCCCTGTGTTCATGCCATCGTTACTGTTCTTTTCTCCCCCTTTCTGGGCAATCACCATGCATAGATAACTCAACATGGACTAGTGATCTTGATGTGTCGAGCAATCTGTTCAAACACTTAACAAAGAATTCAAACGAAGAGAGAATCTTGAAAGTAAGTGAGAAGAGTCACCATACACAACTTGCAAACAAAATCACAAACTCAAAGACTCAATACCACACGATAATTGAAATGCGAAAATCAAAGGATAGTGATATCAAATTCAACATTAAATAGCAAAGACTACAGACTTTGCCAAACTTCATACGAAACATGAAAATGTGAGGAGTAAGCTCAATAGATCCGGCTGCAACAAAAAAATAAATTTAACCGGCATATAAACAAAAATCCCGTCTCTCTCTCTCTCTTTTTTTTTTTTTTTTTTTTTAAATAATGCCTAATGAAGTACAAAAAGTAAACATGAGAAATAGACATGAGTGAAGAGACATATGTGAATAGGATACTGCATGGACAAACAAAACATATGGGATTTATCTTCTTATTCACGATAAGCGCAATCCCAAAAAATCCAACTGCCAATGCAACCAACAAACTTAATAATCCCAAGTCAAACACAAAGATGCTCTTATTAGGTAGCGTACACACACGTCTAATGGTAGCTTTTTTCCCATGAAAAACAGAGCAATTAAAATGAACGAGATTATGGTGGTCGTGCAATGTGTAGTCCCCTGGGCTTTCTAATTGAGCTTTGTAGTAAGTGTTCGGTCAAGTGGTTTACTGGCTCGACTCAACTAGGCTTCGAACTATTCACTGACCATATATATAATTTATATTGGTCGTGCAATGTGTAGTCCCCTGAGCTTTCTAATTGAGCCTTGTAGCGAGCTTTCGGCCACGTGATTTACTGGCTCGACTCGAAAAGGCTTCGAACTATTCACTAACCAAATGGTTGTAGATATATATATATATTAGTAACAGTAGTTCAAGAGTAGCTTTCACTCATTAAAAGATGCAGTTTTTCCCTATAAAAACATCCAACCATGACAAGACTATTAGAGAAATAAATAAGTTGGAGCCTTTTAAATAATCATTTTGGGAATTGGTGAAGTTCTACCCCACAAAATATAGAAATACACGAAGTATCAAATTCACATTTGTCTCAATCATATGCAGTATGCTTAATGCAGGTCCTATATGAGATGCAAAAACATATGAAGTGTCCTACCTCTAAAAGTTGCAAGTCTGGACACACAGACTGTTGCAACAGTTCATGCAACTGCATCAGATTAAACAACATAAATTCCCAGCGATTTTCGCAAGGAATCAAATTTCTGTGCATCAAGGGTTTTTGCAAAAGCATCAGTTAATTCATTCTCCGTTGCAGCAT